TATCAAAAAACAATTTCTTCCTCAATCAACTTAATCACATTACTAATGATGCTTCAAAACAAATAATGAATTATTAAAATAAATGGCATTCAATTATGTTCCTCTATTCATTTCCTGTTGTTTACACAATCGTGTACCTTTTTGTTCTGTGATGAGGTGCTGGACAATGACATCTGTCATGCCATCTCTATAAGCATAACGATCCTTGTAGAGGCCGTGAACTGTACTGAAGATAAGTTGGTAGCATGCAATGGTCCCATCCTGGCAGCCCAACACCTAGACAGAGAAAATAAAGTAGCAGTACATCCTATTAACACCTCTAAGAAAGATGTTGCTGTTGTCAGTTCTGGTGCAACTTGGACACATTGTCAGTGATGAACTCCAGGAGCTTGAGGCAATGTTTCAAGCCCTCTGGCTGACTTCACCTCTTTAAGCAAAGGTTCTTGATGTCAAAAAGGGTACTGGTACTGCACTGGAGGACAATTAGCTGCTAATTTCTGTGTATCAAAGTTCAGCATTTATGAACTGACTCTTGAGTGAGTTCGAGATCTGGTGCTGTTTTAAAGCCAAATTTAGCAGAGGTCATACTGATAATGAAGGTGCTCATTTTCATGAGCCTCTGTTCCACATCACCCTTGGCTGTTGTATTCAGGGCAACATCCAAAACTGTGTCAAACTGACGCCACTCACTCTCTTTGCTGACAGAAGGCCATAAAACCCCCGGGTGTTCATGATGTTTGTATCAGCACAGCTAAAGAAGGGATGTGTTATCAGAACAAATRGAGACTATCATTCTGAATGTCAGGTCTGAGCTTTATCACTGTTCCTCATTACATTCTCCTTCCTCCTCTCTCACAATGACACACACTATTATTCAAAGTTTGGATAACTTCTCTACACATATGGCTCCACCATCTGTAGACCTACCACAAAGTTGGAGTCAGGCTTCACCCGGCACGTCCACACCCAGGAATTCTGCTCGCCTATGTTGCCGAGTCGCACTCCATCTTTAGTGTAGAGGGAGGCCTGTTTATCAGAACCGCCCATGACTATGTATTCACCCTTAGAGAAGTAACTGACGCAACAAGGGTCATAGGTGAGCATCCTGTCTTTTCCAATCTGAAACAGACAAAGAGCAAAATGGACATTAAACCATGAATAAATCAAGTATATTTATTGTACTGTGACCTGGGCCAACACACATCAAAGTCCATAATACACTCAACCACCCCTTTGGGTGTTTGATGATAATATGAGCCTAAGGCATAATGGCAGTGTAAAGAACCGTGCATACATATTTGTCTATAATTATGTTACTGCTAACAGGGAATAGGAGAAATGGGGACCGTGAGGGGCCATTAAAGCATAGCAGGATCACTTCCAATGTACAGTTATGGATTCAATCTACTCCGGCAGTCTCATTACAACAGGAGACATAAGTCTAAAATCAGTAAAATGTTTCCAATGTTTGAGATAGATAGAAAGACTGTACTTCTGTATTCTCCTTGTAATTAGACATTTAGTCATCTAATCCCCCACCTTACAGTCTGAGGTGATAGTGTGAGGAGTTTATTACATTAGAATAACATGTTTGAGACTCAGTATATATCTGTATAACCAGACAACCATACTGTTTGTACATAGGCACATGGATTCAGGGATTTTGTGAAGACTTGTGATATTCACCTGTTTTCCACTAAGCTGATAGAAGGAGAGCTTCTGACCCCAGTCTGCCACAGCCAGAATGTCATTGTGCTCATCCCTGTGTGAACACAACAAAATAAACACAACAAAATTACTCAAGGTAGAAATACTTGTTGTCAACATACTGTACTAAAGAGGCGCTGGTTGTTCAGATAATGAAGAGTGTTAATGAAAGCATAGAGCACCACCCTCCCTATTGATATGACTAATGATAACAATCTCTCTAACAATGGAAACCAAAGGAAAAATGTATTATTATTGTTATTTTGCATGCCAGGACAAATTATTTTATTTATTTTCATTATTGTTATAACAGAAAGCCTGTTAATATACCTATCCACCTGAGCCCTTGTGCACAGAAACATTTACCCTGTCAAAACATCCAAGAGCAAGACACAAAAACCCTGATGACCAAACATACTCCTGTAGCCAAGTAATAATATTATATCTGATGCATCTTGTCATTGTGTCTCATCACTGCCATCTTTACCTCTGCACCTTCATTATTTATCATCTTCCTGTCTGAGCTACTCTCTGAAGCCCTGAAGTCCTCTGTAATGGCCTTAGCTTTGCTCCTGGCTTTGGCTGTAGAGGGCATCGAAGAAGAAAGACAGCTCCTCTAAATCATCATGAGACTCTTCACACAAACAATCAGGACCACTCCCTGGTTGACCACTGCCACCTGCTGGCCCAATACAAGCTAGTCACTTTTGGTTAAATCTTGTGAGTTGGATGGATGGATGGTGGAAGAGTTTATGTGGCTGAGAGAGGCAAAATATTATATATATTTTTGGGGATATGGTATCAATTTATTTTTCTACTTACTTAGAAGGGTTCCAGGATATGGACCAGATGGGAGAGGAGGAGCCTCCTGGACGCTCTATCTTAACTTTCTCCTCTCCATTCTTGTTTCGTATGCTCACGACTCCATTCATCATGCCAAGGGCAAGGTACTGACCATCGTTTGTCCACCTGCAAATTAAACCCTTCAACATAACCTTCAACTCTTCAACATTGTCATGTAATGTGTGTCACATTTCAAATGTAACACTGGTAGTTACAGTTAAAGGCTTTACTTACCCACAACATGTTATTTTGCTGCTGACTTTATGTTTGTTCACAGATTTCTGCTCTGGTGACCATAAACCTAAAAATATAAAAGGTTTTCAGATGGTCAGTGCTGCATGAAGGCGTTCTGTGTATGTGTTAGGCACAAGACTAAATAATGGTGTACTCACCAAAGTCACCAGAAGAGCAGGAGGCAAGTTGGTGAGTGACAGGGTTGTAGGCAACACACTGGATAGAATCATTGTGACTACAGATGAAGACATGAAAAAATAAAGTGAGTGTTGAAGGAATACATACTACAGAATTGCATTAATATAAAAAGTCATACTTACGTGTATTTTAAAATACCCTCCAGTTTAGATGTCCATATGATAATGCTTTTGTCTGCTGACCCAGAGGCAAACCTTTTACCTGCGGAAGAATACAGTAACAAGTAAGATTACAGTGATGACTAGAGAAGGAAATGTGCATAAATGGAAAGCCAGTTAAGTACCATCTTTGGCATAGGCCACACAGTACACTATGTCTTTGTGTCCTTTCAAAGGCTGGATAATAGCTCCATCTGCATCATAAACCTGCAAAAATAAACACAATAATGATGCATATAGTCTTAAGATAAGGGACTTCTATCGTCAAATGAAACAAGAAGGCCTTACAAGAACACGCAGCCCTGCTGCAATGATGAGCTGGCTGCCATCTGGTTTGAAGGCAATGTCATAAACACTGTAAAAGAAAGAATAATGAATATGTGCTGAGGAAGTTGATTAATCAATTGATTAGGTGATTAACAATAATTGTTCTGATCCATTCATCTTTGCAGTCTAATATTGGCAAAATGGATTTTGTAAGTACTGACTTACTAAGGTGCTTTAGTAATGTCACAGTTAATGTTTAATTAACACTAAGTGCATTGCAGTGTGTTGACAGTATCACATAGGCTGTCATAGTCAATTAATATCAATGACATGTGCATCTTGCCAGGCGGTTCCCAAACATTTGGACAAAACAGATGAATTATTTAAATAGATAATAATCAAATCTTAAAATAAACTTGTGGGTTCAAATAGAAGAATGAAAAGGAAATATTGTCAACTTACTGGGTTATTATGTATTAATTTATAGTGCAGTAACTGTTTAATAGCCTCTTTAAGGCGAACACATAAAAAAAGACATCCCTCTTTAGTTGCTGTCATAGAAACTATATCACTGTTTTCTAAAACACAGAATTAACCAATGAAGCAAAAAAAGTTGTAACTGTTCATTTGAAAAACTTTCATCCTGGACAGACAGTGGTTTATATGACGTTACTCAAATAATTCACATCGACCAAAGGTGTGCAGCCACAGCCTAGTCCTGTTACCGAGCGCTAGCTAGCTTAACATTAGCGTTAGCTCCAACCTAACGTTTCGAAAGAAAGTTATCGTCCTGCAGTATTGACAGGACAAATATCTTGCATTGAAACTAACATTTAAATGAAATACAAAACGACTCCGGCATCACTGTCATTTTTCGACGACATTCAAGTTACTCAGGGGGCTACTGCTAGCTAGCTTGCTAACACTAGTTTACATAGCAACCACCGTTGCTAACCACATAGCGCAGCGTCCCAGCACCGGCGGCGGGTTGAGAGAGTGTCCTCCAGTAAAAGCTCTCACCATTGTTCACGAATGGTTTCTTTCCAGGCTAGGACAGCTCTCATCTCCACCTCTTAGCGAACACAACACCGGGGACTGTTATCAACAGGTTGTTGTCGGGTTATCATCGGGTCTTCACGCTCAGCTCTGTTCTCACGACTCGCTCGCACTGCGCAGACTCGTGTCCTGGGTTGCCAGGTTTAAAAAGTAAAAAAAGAGCTCATCACTCAGCTATAACCCTAAACCCAACGTGTTTGACTCCATTTTATGGGGAATAAACCAGTCCGAATTCGCTGTTAACAGTCCCTGATTGTGTGCGACTGGATGTAGGACTATTAACAGTGGATTACTCGAATAAAGAAGAAAACTCGAAATGTCACAATTCTCAGTTAGATTCTGCTTAAGGAGCGAATGGTTTCACAGCGGGGTTTGTGGACGTTTCTATGTTTGATAGGCACTCTACAGTGTAAGTAAGGTCCACTCTCAAAATATGTGTGTCATGTCTGTGTGTTCATTTTTAGCTGAGGTAGTTTGAAGACAAATTAATTTGGCGGAAAATCGACCAACCTGGCAACGTCGCTCGGATCTGCTCGCTACTTCCTGTGTACAAAGTAAAGCCGCTACGAGTTTGCAGAGAGTGGACGTGCACTGCTCCACAGAGGAATCAAACCACACACAGACCAGTCTCCACATCTGTCCTGCACATCTGTGAGAAGCTGCCTCTATGATATACAGTATCACTCAGGAGGTATCTGTCTATTTCTATGTGATACTTGTGAAGAAATGTCTTGTTTATGTTGTTGTGGTAAATAATTCTAGGTTGTCATCTCATCCCTCAGTTGGGTCAGAAACAAAAGCACGCCTTTCTAAATGCATCCAGCTGGAGACCAGTGGAGACATGAATAACCCGAGTCACAAGGACAGAGATGATTCGTGCCACATTTCCACAATGCCCCCTGGGTGGATCAGGGAGGTGAGGCAGAGGAGAGCAGGCAAGACAGCAGGGAAACTGGACGTCTACATAATAAGGTGAATCTGTTTACTTGTTATCCTCTTTGTTTGTAATCAAACAGAAAAATCGAAACAATATTTGTTGTGAGCAGTACCAGTTCTCCTAGTTACACTTTTATAAAGCTAATCTGGGTACCTGGCAGGTTTGGTTGTTACAAGCATCAGGGAGAACTTGCCACAGTTTATTTGTGGATTTAATGTCCTCCATCTTTTCACGTGATCCCTGACTGATCCCGTGATGTTGATATCTGAGCTCTGATTATACTGCATGGTGGTTATAAATCTTAACCTCCAAAGTACTTAACAAGTTTCCAGAGTGCTGGATGTGCATTGCAAATAAAATGGGAGCAGAGTCTAATCGATCTTATTATTGTTTAAGTCCCCATGGGCAGAAGTTTCGGTCAAAGCCAACCCTTCGTGCTTTCCTCCTACAAAATGAAGACGGGAACTTGGACATCAATCTCTTTGATTTCACCACATCCAAAGGTGATGTCGTCACAACTTCACAAATAATATTCCCCACCCAAATTAAACAGAGGGGGAGAAAGAAAAAACAGAAGGAAACAACGCAAGAGGCAGTGGAAATTCTCAATCCACCTCCAAATAAATCCAAAAGAGACACTTCCCCCTGCAGAAGTACGAAAGAAGAAAATGTATGTGGAGATAACATCAACCATATTAATACCGACATTTTAACAGAAGCGTGTCGAAATGAAACTGATGAGACTGTGGAGTGCTGCATCCAAGCTGCACCCTCAGTAATAATGGATGATGTGATTATGCAGGGGAGTCCTCAGAGAGTCGGGCTGAGAGAGAAGCTACTCCGACTGGCTCCATCTAGCAAACAGAAAATCACTACAAGTGTTCATGTGGACCAACAGGCAGACTCGCAGCCTTCTGTCCCAACACTGAATGTTGAACCTGCCACTGTGAGCAAGAGTGAGGAGGAACAAGGTGGAGAGGAGATGCAGATTCACAGCAAAGGCGAGACAAAGTCTAATTCTGAACTAGAGACTGACGCTGACAGTCATCAGGATGTTAAAGAGGAGGTGTTGTTCCCTGACAGAGAAGTCAGCTCTACACCAGTGAGAGATTCCCAGAATAGTAAGTATAATCTATGATATCTATGTCTATGTGTCTTCTAGTTTACTTATGCTGATTTGATTTGTGTCCTTCATGTATATGCTGTTCATGTATAATATGTATATAGATATATAATTGTTTTCTGTCTGCCTAGAGTCTAAAAGCTCAAAAGACAAGCGGAAAACAAGCCCTTATTTCAGCAGAAAATCCTTGAAAGATGGTAAAATTTTAATGATTATTTTTATTAATTTATTATATGTGGGACTAAACATTGACATTTATTAAATGGAATCATGTTTGTACTCTAACCGTACTCAGGACTCAGTCCTCCCAGGCGGAAGGCCTTTAAGAAATGGACACCCCCTCGTTCTCCATTTAACCTCGTTCAGGAAACTCTTTTCCATGATCCCTGGAAGCTCCTGGTTGCCACCATCTTTCTAAACAAGACCAGTGGTAAGATCCAACTTACACACATTTCAACACACTGGATGGCAATGTGGTATTTGACTTTTGTTTTTTTCAATTCTCCAGGCAAGATGGCAATTCCAGCGCTGTGGCAGTTCTTTGAGCGTTACCCATCAGCAGAGGTGACCCGGGAGGCCGACTGGAAGCCTATTGCTGAACTTATCAAGCCACTCGGCCTCTATGAGCTTAGAGCCAAAACACTCATCCGCTTCTCAGGTGAATGTGCTTGTCCACTAATGGGTACACATGCAGTATATTTCAGCACATTATTGGCAGTGTGTTAATGTGTCTTATCAGCAGATTTGTATGGTTTTAGCCCAAGATATATGAGGAAATATCAGTGGCCAGAGAAATCCCACAATCTATTTTCTCCTGTGTAGATGAATATCTAACTAAACAGTGGCGTTACCCCATCGAGCTGCACGGTATAGGAAAGTACGGCAATGATTCCTACAGGATTTTCTGTGTGGGAGAGTGGAGACAGGTGAGAATAATCCTTACAATTATACTTTCTGTGGATTACAGTCATATTTTATTAATAGAATCTCTGTTTTTTGTTTTTTTTATGTCAAGGTGACGCCTGAAGATCACATGTTAAACAAATATCACGCCTGGCTGTGGGAGAACCATGAAACTCTTGGAATCTGAAGCACAATGAACAAAGAATTGAAAGGAAGATTTGACATAAGAAAATCACACAAATCTGAAGTATCTAAGTAGTATTATGATGACCATGTTTATGCTCAGGTTTATGTCATTTTATACTATAGAAATGTCTGTGTTAGCCTCTATTTAAAACGTTTTGCTTTGTTTGTAATAAAATGTTTTAAAAGTTTAAATGATTGTACCAGTGCAGTCATTTGAATTAGTGTTATGACCGAACGCTAAGAACAAAGACACAAAGACTGAACTTCTCTGGTGAAGAACAGAAGAAAAAGACTGGACAACAAACTACGTAAAATAACTTTTCCATTTGTTGTTTATAATAATGTTGGTAGTTAACAAGCTGTGAGTGTTTATCTCAATCTTCATTACCACAGCAGCCATAGCTTCCACACCAGTGTGTGTTCCTCATGACACAGCTTCTTCCAGTCGCTGCCTGGTGGTCACTACTATGACATCTCATCATCTCAGACTCTGCCAGTTACACATACATTACTCATCTACTGCCAAATGACTTCCAGAGGCTCCACTTGTGAACAGGCAAGGCAGGCAACTGTTTGGGGCCCCAGGACATGAGGGGCCCCTGAGGGCTGACAAACTTTACTCCACAACAACGTCTACTTCTAATGCAATGAAATCTCAGTCGGAAATCTCCCTGTAGGGGCCTCGTGTCATTCCTGTCTTGAGCTACAATTCTGTATCATTCACAAAGTTTGAATGGAAAATGAAATAAAGAGGAGCTATCCGCCTGGAAGTGAAAAAAAAAAATGAGATCACGAGGAAACAGTGGTGAGTGAAGCAGATAATGACAATTATAACAGTATAAGTGGATCAATGAATGCTGTCTTTAACATTGACTGATGAAAGAGACACTTGAATGCTTTGTTGATGAGCACCGGCCTTATAATGTTGAGTATAAATTTGTATATATTTATATTTATATTATGACTATGTATGTCTGCTAATGTGAACACTGGCTCCTTTTTGGTTCCTATTGTCAATTAGAAGGTGTGTGTATGTGAGAGAGAGAGTGTGCGTGTGTGTGTGTGTGTCCTGGGCGGTGTCACTGAGGAGAACAGAGAACCAGCTGGGAGCTGCTCGTCCATTCATCCCTGTCACTGCTCCACCAGCGTTAGCTAGCATCCTCTCACTCCGCCGGCCAATGGCTCACCTGAAGCTTTAAAACCCGACTCTCCAAAATATGAACCTCCTCCTTTACTGTATGAACACGCAGGGAATCGGACAATCGTCAGTGGTGCAGCGGTCGTGGTGGTTTTGCTATAAGGTAAGAGCGGAGCAGCTATTAACAACAGCTCGGCTAGCTAATGCTAATAGTTGATCTTCATCCAAAGTGTCTTTAGCGTTAAGAACACATATGGTTGAATTATCTAAAGAGGCTAACACCGCTTAGTTCAACGGACTTTGTGATTGCAGTCTGCTAATATAACGATGATACAACGTTAGCTTGTCGACCTTAGCTGCTAGTCAGTTGATTTGATGTGGTGCTGATGCTGAGCTAGCCGAGCTGGCTAAGCTAATGATGAAACCTGAAACTCGAGTATCCCAGTCAGAGGAGGCGAGGGATTGAAAAGCTTTTCTACTGCATGAACACAACAACACGACTGATGTACACAACAACCAGTCTTGGAGACACGTCACTGAGCCACATCAGGATTCTTGTTAATCATGTAGATAAGCTCAGTTTGAATTTCAGCCAAATTATGATGATGACGTTGCTCTTCATTAAAATAATAATAAAGTCATTAAGAGGAAATAACAAACAAATAAATCAATGAAGGACAAAACAACAGGAACTTTGAGAAATGTTTTGGCTTATCAAACAACCAGTCTTCCAAGAAACAGTAGGGAAAACTCTTCTCGGCAACACTTAAAGTCAAATCCTCTATCCGGAAATCAGAAGCAGCCTTTATGTAATGAATCATTTATTATGCACCACAATGCAATTTTAAGCAAATGTGTTTCAGAACATATATGTGATCAACTCCCCCCGTGGGCATCTAGAAGTAAAGGCTGCTGTACAAACAGATAATGAATGCCTATACAGTTAAACACAGTTTGTAACTACAGTGACACTTCGTAGGAATTAGGCTGCACAAAATGATCACAGTCGCATATGTCATAGCCATTTAAAAAAGGAGCTGGATTCACCTCTATGTTTCGATGAAAACAATGAAACAAAGTCTTCACCCCTGTCCATGGGTTTATTTGTTGTGCTGCTTTGTTTCAAGGACAAGGACAAGTTCTAATTCTAATGTCTTTATGTCTTCTTATAATACATTATAGTGTGATATCAATAATTTACCAAATCTTTTTATAACACTTAAAATGCTAATCAGGAAAACTTGAACTAAAGTAAGTAAACATTTACATATTAGAATTTTATAAATTATATGTGTGTTTGATACTTGCTGTGATGATGACTGAAACGAGTTTAATTTAATTTAATTTGCATAATGTGTTGGTTGTGTGTTTCTTCTGGAGGATCATGTGGTGGGCCTGGCCGTTCCTACCTGCTCTGGTTCTTCTCTCAGAGCTCTCTGTGGTGAGAGTCCAGACAGCACCATGCCAGACCTGTCGAAAACTCACCGAAAGTTTCATTAAGGTACTGCAGTTAAAATAGTGAAGCATCGGTTAATGTATGTCTTTCTGGGCCAGTTTATCCTTTTTGTATTTGATGCCCTAAAATGTCCCTCTTTTTAGGGTTTGGAGATAACAGCCAAGAAGAACTTTGGGGGTGGTAACACTGCTTGGGAAGAAGAGAAGCTGGCTAAGTATGCACGAAGGTAAGAGCAAGTTTTAATATTCTTTATTTATAAATACTAACCTGTTCTGTTTTCATATTCACCAACTGCATTACCTGTCTTAATTGTCGGCTTCTTGTTTTAGTGAGACTCGACTGCTAGAGATTGTAGAAGCTGCTTGTGAGAAAACAGATTTTGAATGTAACCAGCTGCTGGAGCAGATAGAGGACCAAGTGGAGACTTGGTGGTTCCACAGGTATGTGTATTGTGTGCATACTCCGTATACTATGTAGTCTGAATCTACATTTCATTTCTTTCATTCAGCACAATATCGTTTTCATGTTGGCTGATTTGCTATGGGGCCAGTTATATTTAGTCTGGTAACATTACTGGGAGCAGTATTGAGATTTAGGTTAAGTTTTCATGGGGGAAAAATCAATAAAATCTCAAGTTATCAATCCCACATTGTGTTTATCATATTGAGACAGTGTTGGTTTCCTCTGTGTATTTAGGTTTTGTTAAGACGTACAACCTTGCCCCTGTTCTAACTCTATGGCTGACATGATGTGTGTGTCCTTTAGGCAGCAGGAGGCACCAGACCTGTTTGAGTGGCTGTGCATAGAGGAACTGAGACTCTGCTGCCAACCTGGACACTTTGGGCCTGACTGCAAAGGTATGGAACACACAAACCATTCAGCACAAGCTACCTGATATCTGTATACAAAATCTTACTGTGCTAGACCTTAATTTATTTAATTATGTCCCATGTTTAATAAAATATTTTGAATTCATCCCACAGTCAAATCAAATGTTTGTAATTAGAATCATGCTCTTTTAAAGCACTAGTGACCAGGGAACCACTAATGTCATGCTTATCAATACAGAGTGTCCTTCAAGCCCTGGTGGGGTGTGTGGTGGTCTGGGCCGCTGTGAGGGGGAGGGGACTCGACTGGGAGATGGAGAGTGCGTCTGTGATCCTGGATACTCAGGCAATCTGTGCCAGGGCTGTGCTGATGGCTACTTCAGAGAGAAAAGCTCCAATGACAGCAAAGGAGCCTGTGCAGGTGCTTCAGATAAACATTTCAATCATCATGAAATCATCAGCATGAACTTAATTATGTTTGAGTTCAGCTTAAATTGACGATCTCATTATCTCCATGTCTCTCATGGTCTGTAGCTTGCTACTACTCATGTAAGAAATGCTCAGGGCCGCAGGACTACAAATGCCTTGACTGTAAACCAGGCTGGATCCTTCATGACAACAAGTGTGTGGGTGAGTGTCTCTTGAGAGTTCATGAGGTAAAGTTTCTTTGATTCTGTGCCAGTTTGTTGGAAGTTTGTATCCTGACTTTTCTTGTATGTCTCTTAGACATTGACGAGTGTGGTACGGAGCTGGCTCGATGTCCCTCTAACACGTACTGTCACAACACAGATGGATCGTATGAATGCAGAGGTAGGCTCTCATGTGTAGTTGCTGCTTTTAAAGTCACAACCTGCTGTAGTGTATCACAGGGAGAAAACTTATATATAAATAAATCCAATCAATCTATCAATTAATGATATGTATTTGGGGGCAAAAACAATAAGATAGATAGATAGATTACTTTATTCATCCCCAAAAGGAATTTAGGTCGTCATAGCAGTTCGGTATTTGGTACAATAAAAATACAATAGAATAAAATAGAATAAACTTTTATGTAAACATAAACACAGATGATTAAGTATTTATTATGTCTGTGAAAGGCTCATGATGGTTGATATTATCAGCCAATCGAGATATATTGGTGGGCTCAAGAATCAATCAATCACTATAGGACTTAATGTCCAGTTCAGAATGCAATGTGACCACTGTGATTTTTGCTTAATCCAGGCTGTGATCAGGCATGTGTGGGATGCATGGGCAGTGGTCCTGCCCGTTGTAAGAAATGTTCACGTGGCTACAGATTGAAAGGAGCCAAGTGTCTTGGTAAGCATGTACTACTTAGCTCATAAATGTGTTTACTGTTAACTCCTAGCCTTGTCCTAATGTACTTAAGCTGTGTTTCTTTGCTCCCTTGCACAGATATAGATGAATGTAATGAGCGTGCAATAGCGTGCCCAGGGCTCAATGAGGCCTGTATCAACGAGGAGGGCTCCTTCCACTGTGACTGTGCTGATGGATTCATCAGAAGAGACAGCATTTGTGTTGAGAACAAGCCACCTGGTAAGTAGCAGTAAATATGCAGAAACGTACAGTATGGTGTGTCGCTGACAGCCTCTCAGATCTGATCTAACTTTCTTTTTGTGCTCCTCAGCTGGTCCAGAGAAGGGACTGTTTGATGACATGACAGACGACGAGGTTCTTGTACTGCAGCAGATGTTCTTTGGGGTTGTGATCTGTGCCCTTGCTACGCTCGCTGCTAAGGGCGATATGGTTTTCACAGCTATTTTCATTGGAGGTGTGGCTGCTATGGCCGGATACTGGTTGACAGAAAAGGGGGACTACATGCTGGATGGATTCCTGAAGGGACGCTAGACTGTCTGTGGCCTCGATTTAATAAAAGGACCTTGGAATACCAGCCAATAAAAGTGAATATCACTCGACCGGGGCAGAAAATGATCACGACAATGCTTGCCTTTCAGGGATTTATTTGGGTTTTGGGAGTTACTTGAAAGGGCTTGGGGAAATATATGTTTATGAATAGGATAATGCAGGAAAAAGTGAGGACATTAAGGCCATGGAGCCATATATCTTGAAGAGGAACTGACAAGGCCACACTGCACTGATGTAAAGGAACTTAATCCCCTAGCTCAACTTTGTTGGGAACAAGGTTGACATGAAGACCACCACTGATTGTTCAAACCTATTATGCATTTGGATTTTCCATCTGGCCTCGATGTTGTTTGAGAAACAATGTCTTTGTTCCACACAATCGAAACCTCCAGTCATCATCCGCTGTGAAGCAGAGCTTTTCCCATAGTTTGAATGTCGCGTTGGTTTCCACACTTTTTGCTGTGGGCCTGTGGTTAGATGAAGAAATCAGCCCAAAGAGAAACTCTGGGATGTTTCCATTATGAACCACTGGTTATTTATGTTCACAGAATGGCTTTTTTTATTTCCTCACTTCCTGAATGATTATTTTCAGTAATACTGCATGACAACAGGAATTGAAATGAAAGGTACTACACTGTTTAATTTGTCTCACTTTGGCATGAAAGTCTGACAGCTGCTGAATCACCAACATTACTGCCACTGACCACTTCTTAAAGCATTTGAATGAATGTGCTAAGGTAAAAACCAGCTCTAATCTTGATGATGTAAGCCATTTTCTGTTGCCTTTAATTTTGAAAGCAATATTTATTGGAATGATGTTTATTATATTTTGTTCTTGACACCTTCTCTGTGTATTTGTGTGCATTTCAATGCAATTTTTAATTTGTCCAGTTGTGATTCTAGCAGGTATTGTAGCATTATGTTAGAAAGCACCTGAAGCATCATTTCTCATCCATCCATCAAATGTATCTTTCCCGAGGGTGCAAACTTGTCCATACTGTCATTGTTCATTATAGATTTTCGCTTTATAAGAAAAGTCTGCAACTCTTCATGTTTAATTTAATTTTGTGAAGAACTGTATGCTCTTTGCATAAACTGAATGGGAAAAAAACATTCAAGCTCATGGAATTTGTTTTCTTCAACAGCATGTTTTGTCATAAATTAAAGGAAATGCAAAAACTTTCAACAGTTGCAGGTCAAGTTGCATTGTGGGTAATGTAGGCTTCAGGTTTCGACAAGGTAGAATGCATAGAATAAGAAAGACGATACCTCTGGTTCTGCTTCGTCCATTTTATACTAAGCTCAACTTAAAAAACAAGTCTGACCATGTAACAGAAGCACAGTTATACATTGTTGCAGTTCTATGTTTATATTTTTACCATATTCTAAAATTAATTTGTATAAAGTAAAACTGGAAATACAGTGACATTCTAATACAGCTCTAATGCAGATTATAAAACCCTACAAATGTCCCTCTTATGTTCGGTCACTGACTATCACACTCATAATTACATGCACTGTATACAGTATGTTGTCTTTCATTTTCATCTGACACTCAGCTGAACCAAGTACCTCAGTAAAGCCTGTAGTTGTTACTCAGGATGTTGATGTTCAACCTATTTCAGTGTTCCACTCCAGTTAATGGGGTTGAGGCGCAGCAGCTCTCTCTCCTTCAGGATCTCCTGGGAGCGTGTTAGTGCTCTGTCCCTCCAGCTCTGCTCCATTAGCTGCACACACACAAGCACAAGAACACATACAGCTGAGACGAGGAAGACAACACAACTCACTCCCTTCATATGTCGGATCTGGAGCTTCTTCCTGGACACTATGAGCAGCACAGACACAACTAGAATGACCCAAGCCCAACAGTCTCCTTCCATTCAGTCAAGCTGCAGCAAATTTTAAACACAGAGATGTAATTTCCCTAAATGTGCCAGATTGTTTTTTATCATGATCCACAAATTATTCTCTGGGGAAACAGTGAAATATTGAAAAATGTCATGTCTCTCAATGTTGCAGAAAATAGAAAGAAATCCTGTATCCTGATAGATCTGCACCAGGATTTAACGGGTTCTCTGCTGACCCACTGATCCTTCCACTAAGTTTCCTGGTCATCTGTTCAGTGGTTTTTGTGTGTTGTTGATTGCAAACAAACAAACAAAAGAACGTACAGGGGTGAGAACATAACCTCCTTGGTGGAGGTGATGAAAGCATGAGCAGTGGATGTATGATGTGTAAATGGAAGTGCACCTTCTTGTTCTCATCTCTGAACACTGTCATTGCTTTGCTGTGCTGGATCCTTTGCTCTCTGTCACTGGACAGGGCGAGACGGTCCACTTCACGAAAATACTCTGATTCCTTCACTTTACCGACCAGCTGCAGTTTCAGTGCCGCACATTTCTCCTCCATCTGCCTCTTTAACTGTTCTCGCAGCTCCCTCCTGTCAGAAGAAGACAGACTCGTCACTAAAGTGTATTTGCAGGACACATTTAAAGGATAAAAAGACTCATCAACACAACATGAGAAGTGAAGGTATCCACACGTTCACCTGTATTCTTCTCTTTCACTGCTGCTTCCATAAAAGGGTTTTCTCCACACTTGATGATACCTGACACATCGATGACAAGACTTTAAACTCAGCTCTGCAAAATCAAAATGGAATTAGATCTGGAGCCTCTGTGACTTGTCTTCTTTTGGTGATTCTCAGTTAAACATGAGTCACAGTGATGAGTGCTCCTACCTGTGGTGCTCTCTTCTCTGCATGATCAGTGTCCTCTGGTGGTTGTGGTGGTGAACAGCTGGCGTCTCCAGACTGACTATGCGTTTATGGACCGAAGGTGGATGTAAAGGGTTCAGTCTTGGAAAACTCTAGGGGTCAGATATATAGAAGTTGTTTGTTTTTCATCTTCCCATGAGACAGTCACACAATGAACTGTCAAAGACTCTATGAGCACCTGATTGCTTGTCCACAGTCGGGCAGAGTCTGAGATGATGGGAAATGTCATGGGAGTGACCACCAGGCAGCGACTCTGCTGGACAGCAGCTGTGTCACGAGGAACACACACTGGTGTGGAAGCTATGGCTGCTGTGGTAATGAAGATTGAGATAAACAGAGTCACAGCTTGTTCACTACCAACATTATTAGAAACAACAAAAGTTATCTCACGTAGTTTCATTTTGTTGTCCAGTCTTTTTCTTCTGTTCGTCCACCAGACAAGTTCAGTCTTTGTGTCTTTGTCCTGCAGGATTTATTTTTCCTCTTAAAGTTGCAGGTCTGTTCACATTCAATCATAACACTAATTCAAATGACTGCACTGGTACAAGTTAGAGATTTAACCTTCGCCTGCCTGTGCATTCACTGAGTGTTCAGCAGTGGCAACAGTTGCCTTGGGAATCAGGTTACCCCCCCCGACCAAGAGAAAGCTGCTGTGTGGAGTTTAAGGTCAGTGCACACAACAAGAAACATTATTACCTGGTGACAATGGAGTAACCAGAGACAGTAAGGAGACGTCTCCTGACCTCATCTACGTGTTAACAGATGATACAGGACAACCAGTCAGAAGATTGGAACCTTTTAAATAAAAGCAAAAAACTGTAGTATTACTGCATAATTATAAGATGATTCAGGAACCTGGCCTTGTTATTTTCCTTGTATCTGGTATTTGGATTCATATCTCAACTGTTTATACTTTGAGTTCATTATTTCCTGTCTTATTTGTGGGTAACTGTTAAATGTTCCCTCTGCATGAACATGTCATTCTGCCTCCAGTAGAGTTCATCGCTGTATGTGTGAATCGTCTGTTATAAATAAAGTATTTTTCAGATGTAGATTGTAAACACAGTTGGATTTTCTCAGCACTGCAGGGGCAGATTTTCTTGGCAGCACAGAGGGACTTAACAACAAGCAGCTCTTTTAAACATTTCCTTTTTATGATTCCATGCCGATGTTAGCCTGTGGCCCGGAGGCATTGTTTTCAGGCATCTGCTCAATATTGTAGCAGTGATTTAATCAATTGAGCGGAAAACAACAAAGACAAACAAATAAACAAGACAGTGACACATTTTGTCCGTCATTGTGAGCTTCAATTAATAAAATCCTTCAGGATTTTTTTTCCCTGTGGTTCTTTCTTAAACTTTAACAGTAGCATTAATAGTCCTCATTGACACTGGCTGATATTTCCCTGAAATTACAGCTTTATTATAATAACATTTACACTTTATTCTCATAATATTACATTATTCTCATAAATGTATGACTTTATTCTGAAAATCTCCATCCAATCTTTTTTCCCACTTAAGTGAGCCTAATACTTCACTGTGTGCAGCTGTAGAAGTGCAGGAACAAAGATGATGGGGAGAAGCAGACAGAGGCAGCAATAAAAAGTAACCAGAACCAATTCCATTGATATTGTGGATATTTTTCCATCGTTTTCACACAGGTCAAGTCGCTCACCCAACACCCTAATCTCTAATTGGCTTTCCATGAGCTCCAGAGATGAGAGACCTTCGAGGTTTCCTCTCTCCTCCATCCACACCAAATCAGAGAAGTACTTTTTCTGTGTGTCAGCCATTGCTGTTTCCCTCATTCCCTCCTCTTTTTCTGCACTGTCCCCCCCTTGGGCCCATTCTGCAACCGTTACTGCTGTCTCTGTGGTTAAAGGATCTGGATCTTCTACTACCTCTACTACCAGTGACACATGAAGGGTTTGAGGGGTTAAAGGTATTGTTGAAGGGTTTATTTTGATTGCAGGTGAACAAATGATGGCCAGTACCTTAAATGATGAATGGAGTCGTGAGCATATGAAACAAGACGGGAAAGGAGAGGGTTCAGATAAAGATAAAGCATCCATAGGAGGCTCCTCCTCTCCCATCTGGTCCATATCCTGGAACGTTTCTAAGTAAAACAAAATAAATTGATGGCATATCTCCAATGATTTATTAAATCCTATCCCTCACTTTGCAACACAGACTATTCTATCACCCAACCACCTCACCAAGATTCACCTAATGATTCTCTGAAACTGCACTTTTAGTGAATAGCCCGTTTTGGGCCAGCAGGTGGCAGTGGTCAACCAGGGAGTGGTGGGATTGTTCCAGTGACAGAGAGTCTCATGATGATTTAGAGCCAGAGCCAGGAGCAAAGTTAATGTTTTCATTTAGTAGTAAGTGAGTAGCTCAGACAGGAAGATGATAAATGATGAAGGTGCAGAGGTAAAGATGGCAGTGATGAGACACAATGACAAGATGCATCAGATATAATATTATTACTTGGCTACCAGGTTTTTGTGTCTTGCTCATGAATGTTTTGACAGAGTTCATTTTTCTGAGCACAAGGGCTCAGGTGCATAGGTACATTAATAATTACAACATTAATTAAAGCAAATAAAATAATTTATCCCAGCATGCAAAAAATATAATTAACCTTTCCATTATTAGAGAGAGGAAAGGGCTTGACCTTATGTCATATGAGTCATTATGATCATTCGTCATATCAAATGGGAGGGTGGTGCTCTATGCTTTCATAAACACTGTCTTCATTATCTGAACAACCAGCGCCTCTTTAGTACAGTATGTTGACAACAAGTATTTCTACCTTGAGTAATTTTGTTGTGTTTATTGTGTTGTGTTCACACAGGGATGAGCACAATGACATTCTGGCTGTGGCAGACTGGGGTCAGAAGCTCTCCTTCTATCAGCTTAGTGGAAAACAGGTGAATATCACAAGTCTCCACAAAACTCTTGAATCCATGTGCCTATGTACAAATAATAGTCGGAGTAGATTGAAACCATAACTGTACAATGGAAGTGATCCTGCTATGCTTTAATGGCCCCTCACTGTCCTCGTTGTTCCTATTCCCTGTGGGCAGTAACATAATTATAGACAAATATGCACGGTTCCTTACGCTGCCATTATGCCTTAGGCTCATATACTATCATCGGCATACTTATCTGTTTAAGTTAACATGTTGTTTGGATTACAACACCAGGAATTGTTCACAGTGAAAAAAAATTCTATGAATTGTCAGGCACTTTTTTACTACAGTGAGAAGAAACAGATGCACAGAGTTGGGAAACTCTTATGATGTTGTGCAAATGTAACAATAATACAATAGAGCCTATTTAAACCAGAGGAAGAATTTCTTTTTGTCTATCTTTTCATCAAACACCCAAAGGGGTGGTTGAGTGTATTATGGACTTTGATGTGTGTTGGCCCAGGCCACAGTACAATAAATATATTTGATTTATTCATGGTTTAATGTCCATTTTGCTCTTTGTCTGTTTCAGATTGGAAAAGACAGGACGCTCACCTATGACCCTTGTTGCGTCAGTTACTTCTCTAAGGGTGAATACATAGTCATGGGCGGTTCTGATAAACAGGCCTCCCTCTACACTAAAG